CGCTGAAAATTAAAAACTGCCAGGCATTTAGGAAATCGCAGACCGTGCCCGGCAGCCGTCAGATATATGCCGGCTGCCGGGCATATAGCCACTCTGTAATTATTTAGCTCTACATGTATGTGTATGTACAATTGTAGCCCTCCACTCAACAACAGGAACCTGTTTCCGAGTGAAGGGCTATTAGTATTATTAATGTTATCGTGGCCAGTTGTTAGACTCGCATGCTGTGGCAACGCGTTGGCTATTCAACAATACCTACTGATACAATGATATTACGACTACTCTTACTCGCAGCTCAGGTTGAGCGTGACTCACATTATGGTTATAGGGGTAGGGCCCCCTTCTCTCCACCCCTTCGCAGACGGCGTCCACCAACGACAACGACATACCGGTTCCCTTGTTGGGTTGCTGGCCATGAATGATGAAGTTTTAGAGATCTAGCACTGCATAACAATTTGCAAGTTCAAAGTTGTATACGTCAAGTTGCTGCAGAGCAAATGATACACACACAACCTCCAAGGCTTGCCTCCTTTCCAGTAAGGAGGGCTAAACCGTAAATAGCACCATAGACTCTAAAAACCGACTATTATTACTGTAATATTATGGATACAAACAGTAACACTAACACTATCAAGAGACGACGACAATGAGTTTATTGCCGGATATGCAATACCGCCACCTGGCGTTAGGTGCGTACAGTCCTGATAAATGCCGTGGAAAAATAGCAGAAAAGGACGTTGTTGTTGCTGCTGTTGTTATTATTATTATTAATGCATGGGTGTATGCAGGGGGGGGGTCGTGAGGGTCGTACGACCCCCCCAAAATTGTAAAAGGTCCACATTTTTTTACCAAAAACATTTTTTTTCGAGGGCCTTTTTACAATGACATAAATGAAAAAGCATAATTAATCAGGTACCAGCAATGAGTCCAAAGACATTGTCGTGACGTGACGTAAATCTATCCCAAATCCAGCAATTCTGAAACTGAGCCTTTTTTTTAAACAAAATTTTGTTTCATAAAAGAGAGACAAAGACTGACAAAGACAAAGACAAGACAAGATCAAGAAAAGACAAGATAAAGACAAAAAGTTCAAAAAACTCTGTTTTCAACTGAGTCAGAAAACTTTTTTTATAAAACTGATAAATTTTTTTTTGAAACTATATATATATATATATATATTGCTTTACTACTGCGGTGCTTTAGACTACGCTCACTTTTCCGGAATGTTCTTCTAGGCTTTGTGCGCGTGAGAATATCCCAACGTATCAAGATGAGAGCGGGCACAGCCCTCGCACGGCGAGCATGGTACGCGTGAAGCACATGAAGCCTTATCTACCCGAGCCGCACATACGATCATGTGCATACGCTCTAGTCCATCTAAATAATTTTTTTTTTTCAGCGGACAGGTAGAGTTACGCGATCATAGGCGTGTCTCGTATTTCAGATCTGCTTTTCAGTGCGGGTAGTAGACTGTTTCAGATGGCGTTTCGATGATGCACGGGCGTGTTGGCATCTCACAATGCTTCCGCATCCGTGCCGAGCGCGGGAGGCTGCGGTAGGGCTTCCACGGCTGAGCGCGTGCTGACAACCTTATAGACTGGTACCCTGTCACCACATATAGACAAGATATAGACTCTATTAACAAAGTGTAGAGACAGGGTGCCAGTCTGACACTGCCGTTACTAAGCAACACAGCCGAATCGCGAGTACAGCTATAGTGAAGTCCTACTGTTGCAGAAAGCTTATTATGCAGCTGAGCTGCGCCGCAGCAGGGCCACAGGCGTGCGTTATATAGACATATTATCAGGAGTTAATAATAACAAATTTGTCATTATTAACTCCTGATATTATATAGACAGTTTGCCTGGACGTGCATGTTCTAACGCGATTATTCGCACCTTAGGCGTGACCAGTGGATGGATATTCAATGGCTGTGTCTAACGCAGTGCGAGCTAGGCGTCGTATAGATGATTTCGCTCCTGCAGCCCTGCTGGGTTGAGGTTGACACCATACTAGGCTGCTCTGTTGCTGAAGCAATAACCATGATCATGCGCGCATTGCAGGAGTGTGTAACGTAAAGCACGTACGCGTGTGCTAGCTGCGCCTGCGCCGGTACGCGATTATATCAGGAGTACACGAATGAGAAATCGCATTCTCGTACTCCTGATGAATATCTATCTATCTATCTATCTATCTATCTATCTATCTATCTATCTATCTATCTATCTATCTATCTATCTATCTATCTATCTATCTATCTATCTAGAGAGAGAGAAAGAAAGAGAGAGAGAGAGAGAGAGAGAGAGAGCGCGAGCGAGAAAGAGACCGTCGACTATCTTTGCAACAGCCGGGAAACCCCGGTCGCAAGTGTAACAGACAACTCACGCGGTTCACATCAGATGTCGATGTCTTCGCCTTTATCTCGCCGTGCCGCGACGTGACTCGGCCGATGTGCCAATCAGCACATTGTCATCACTAGACATCAATGTGTCGCGCGAGTTGACACCGGTATAAGTAGTTCTCCCACGCTACTAACGTTGATATATGCATGTGCGTTGCCCGTTAGGCAAGCCCAGCTCACGCGTTCACAGCGACGCTAGCCCAGTTCACAGCCGAGCCTTTACTTTGCTACGCTAGCCCAGTTCACAGCCACGTCTTCACCGCTACACAAGCCCAGTTCACAGTCGTGCCTTCACCGTTACGCTAGCCCAGTTCACAGCCGTGCCTTCACCGCTGCGCTAGCCCAGTTCACAGTCGTGCCTTCACCGTTACGCTAGCCCAGTTCACAGTCGTGCCTTCACCGTTACGCTAGCCGCAGTTCACAGTCGTGCCTTCACCGCTTACGCTAGCCCAGTTCAACAGCCCGTGCGTTCACCGCTACGCTAGCCCAGTTCACAGCCCCCGTCTTCACCGCTACACAGCTCAGTTCACAGCCGTGCCTTCACCGCTGCGCTAGCCCAGTTCACAGTCGTGCCTTCACCGTTACGCTAGCCCAGTTCACAGTCGTGCCTTCACCGCTACGCTAGCCTAGTTCACAGTCGTGCCTTCACCGTTACGCTAGCCCAGTTCACAGCCGTGCCTTCACCGCTGCGCTAGCCCAGTTCACAGCCGTGCCTTCACCGCTGCGCGTACCCAGTTCACAGTCGTGGCCTTCACCCGCTACACAAGCCCAGTTCACAGTCGTGCCTTCACCGCTACGCTAGCCCAGTTCACAGCCGTGCGTTCACCGCTGCGCTAGCCCAGTTCACAGTCGTGTCCCCACCGCTACACTAGCCCAAGTTTGAAGCCGCGCTCGTAGCTGCGCCTAACAGTAGCGTTTTGCAAGCCCGTGGCTTCGCAGACTTGACTAGTAGCACACTGCTCGCACTGCAGTCGTCGCGCTAGCCTGATAAGCGTGCGGTGGCAGACTGCGCTGACATTTCCCGCTAAGCCAATGAGAATGCTTCACAGGTTCCTGGGCGTCCAGAGATGTTCGCCCCCGACTGAGGCAGGGAGGATGCTGAGGACGAGAGCAGTGCGCGCGTGTGCGCGTGTTTCTAGGCGCGCAACAGTGTGTAGGTGGCAGCACTGCGTAGTCGCGTAACGCTGAGGAAACCGGGACTGAGGACAACGCTGATTACAATACGAGCCTGCCACATGATACTCATAGTAGAGAGAGAGAGAGAAAGATAGAGAGAGAGAGAGAGAGAGAGAGAGAGAGAGATGAGAGAGAGATCTCGAGAAGAGTAGTAAGTAGTAGTAGTAGTAGTAGTAGTAGTAGTACAGGCCCGCTAGCCAGGGGGGTTCGGGGGGTTCGAACGAACCCCCCCCCGAGCCCCTCCCGCCCAAGCCAAAAAAAATTTTTTTTGTGAAATTTGCAAGAATTTCACGCTCAGGTCGCTCCATCTTTAGTGTTATATATGCAAAATTCTCCAATCGTGCGGGAAGGGTGAACAGTGACACACCCCCCCTCCACACCCTCCCCGCTCGGTCGCTTGCTCCCGTCGCTGCGTCGCTTCGCGCCGGGCAGGGCGTTGTACAGGGGGGGTCACCAGTATAATAATAATAAAATTATTATCCTAAATTATAATCCTAATAATAAAATTATTAAACTATTTAAACAAACTAGTTTTTATCAGTGCATGGTAGATAGCACATGCTCGTGCACACAGATTTTATTCAATGAGATATCTAGCTATAGCCAGAGCATATAAATCACCTATTATTATATATATATATATAATAATATTATGATATTATATTATGGTATATTATCATATAGATATAGAATACACTTTATTCTATATCTATGATAATATATATATTCATATATTATTATATGGTGATTTATATGCTCTGCTATATAGCATAGCGTATTTGGGAAGAGTCAGCCTGAATTGTCTGCAGTTGATAAGTTGTGTCACTGCAGTATATATTTTCAGGTCAAACTTCTCGCAAATACGTCTTCTCCATATGTTATAGAATAATGTGTTTTTAGCAGATAGTGGGCATGGACAAATAGTTCTTTTATCATCCACTTCTACCATCTCTACCCCCCGGGAGCAAGAGAACGGTCCAAAAATATAGGCTTGTGTAGCGACAGCAACATTATCATTACAGAGGTGTATCCAGGATTTTTTCTGGGTGGGTCGTGATCATAATTTTTTGGACCTTTTCACACTGAAATAACGCAACGATGCCTTGATTAAATATGTCATTACAATGCTAGTGGCTGTACAGAATTTGTACCAGCTAGGGGGGGTCTAACCGTGACCCAAACTTGGGAGCACGCGAAGGGCCCGGTCCTGGGTTCAAAATTTTTGAAATTAGTCTACCTTAGATTGCGTTATGGCCGCGAGCGAGGGGGGGGGTCCGGACCCCGCTGGACCCCCCTGTCAGACGCCCCTGACAATTTAATTAGAAACCCAAAACAAATTTTGCTTTTCAAAAAAAATATCAGTTTTATAAATAAATAGTTTTCTGACTCAGTTGAAAACAGAGTTTTTGACTTTTGTCTTTATCTTGGTCTATTTTGCTTGATCTTGTCTTGTCTTTTGTCTTTGGAGTCAGTATTGTTCTCTCTTTATTGAAACAAAATTTTTGTTTAAAAAAAAGGCTCAGTTTCAGGAAAATGCTGGATTGGATATAGATTATAGCGTCACGATCACGACAATGTCTTTGCCACTCAATTGCTGTCCGTACTCTGATTAATTATCTTTTTCCCCCATTTATGTCCATTGTACAAAGCGCCTCGAAAAATAAACTGTTTTTGTTAAAAAAATGTGGACCTTTACAATTTTGGGGGGGTACGTAGCGACCCTCACGACACCCCCCCTCGCATGACACCCATGCATTAATATAATAATAACAACCAGCGAGCAACAACAACGTCTTTTCTCGCCCGTATTTTCCACGGCATTATCAGATGATGACGCACGCTAACGCCAGGTGGCGGTATTCGTGCATATCCGTGCAACAACACTCCTTGTCGTGTCTCTTGATAATGTGTTACGCGGCTACTGCGCCCTTGTACCATAATAACAGTAATACATCAGTGGTCTTTTTTACGAGTCTAGGTGCTATTTACGGCTTTTACGCCCTCCTTACTGAACCAGCGAGGCAAGCCGCCTTGAGAGTTGTGTGTTATCATTTGCTCTCGCGGCAGACATGAACCTGTGCACGTCCATCACAACTTTGAACTTGGCATAATTGTTATGCAGTGCTAGCCTAAAACTTCATCATCCTTCACTGGCCAGCCACCCAACACAGGGAACGGCTATGGGTCGTTGTCGGTCTGGCTGGACGCCGTCTGCGAAGGGTGGAGAGAAGGGGGCCCTACCCTATAACCATAACTGTGAGTCAACGCTCAACTGAGCTGCGAGTAAGAGTCGTCCGTAATATAATTGTCATCAGTAGGGTATTGTCTGAATAGCCAACGCGTGCCACACGCATGCGAGTAGCTAACAAACTGGCTACGAGAACCATAATAATACTAAATAGCCCTTCACTCGGAAACAGGTCCTGTTGTTGAGTGGAGGCGCTAACAATTGTAACATACACATACATGATGAAGCTAAATAATTACCCAGAGTGGCCTATATGCCGACGCAAGCCGGCATATATCTGACGGCTCTGCCGGGCACGGAGTCTTCGATTTCCTAAATGCCGCAGTTTTTAATTTCAGGCGTATCTCAACGTACAACAAGGTTAGGGTAGGGAACTGCCAGCATTTAGGAAATGCGATAGACGTGCCCGGCTGCTGGGCTAATATAGCCGACAGCGAAATAATTACGTCATGCATACATGATCGGAAATTGATTATCGCCGCCTTATGTGTAGTTGAGACCTCTACTGTACTGTTCAGCACACAAGTGAGTGTGCGTTGATGGAGTCATTGCGTGAATATGATACTCAAATTTTAGTAAATGTCAAAGAGTGACAGATCCGACGTAACCATATTGTTTCACGAAGCAGCGGGTGTTGGTTAAGCTAGTTTTGTTTCTGTGTGGCAGGCGTCACCTACTCGGATGGTAAAACCAACCTATGTAGTATATTTTTCGTCTTACAGTAGCGCGGTCCTACGACACCAGGTTTGTTTATGATTTGTTAACAGTGGCAATTCAGCTAGACGCCAACGTGTGTGTGTTAGAAGCCAGTAGTTGTAGCAAAGTTTCGTGTTCAGCGGTTGAAACTGGCAGACTAAGTTGAGTGGAGGTAGCCGCAAAGACTGTCCTCTGTAGTTTTGGCCGGCACTAATGAATTTGTATTTTGTTAAAGAAGTAATGTGTTTAATTAGATAGCTATTTATTTGAACTTAAAAAGGCATAATTCGCCACCATTGATTATGCAAAATTTACGAATGCTACAGTAACC